GTCGGAAAATTATGCCTGATGAACTGCATCTGGGCGCCCAACATGGTGTTGGCTCCCGTAATGATAACGGTGGGCGGTTACTTCATTTGTGTGAAGATGCTCGCTTATTTCTTGCGGGCACTAATTTCCGACACAACACCCGCCGGAGCGTGACTTGGCGCCCACCAGCCTCGAAGCAGCTATGAACGCAAATCGATCACATTGCGATAAGTTACCGATGGAGAGGTTGCGTCCAGAACTATCGCTCGATTTGGAGCACAGGTGTGGACACCGACCATGCACTTGTATGTGCTGGCCTGCGGATGCGTTTTGGCGGACGCCCAAGACGACGTTGTGAGCTCATTGACACCAGCCAATTGGCGAAACCAGCTGTTCTGAATGCCTATCAAAGTACGTTGTCATGCGAGTTGTGTAAGCACTCACTGGATGCAGTTGAAGCTCACTAGTCTCATATTCACCAGTCGTTACTAACGGCAGGAAAATCCTCATGTGATAAGTCTAATCGCCAACATGGATATTGGGTCTCTTCGCGGTCTCTGGAACTGATCGATGCTCGGTGGCATATTCCGGCTGCAAGCGAACACAATGAAACTCGCACAGAGCTCCGGGCAAAAGTGCGTGCTAGCCTGAAGAGACCGCGAATCCTGGTGGTCTCATCGTGCATCAGAAATGGAAATGGTCGCTGCTCTTGGTAACCATCGTAAGTTATTCCGGATGATACGAGAAACAGGCAGCAGGAGACCTGGTGTTAGTGAAACTATACGTGACGAGGGTGGACAGCCTATGCACAACTTGTCAAGACGCTTGGACCGTTGGGCCGAGCATTTTGAAAGGCAATTTAATCGGTCGGAATTGTTAGATTTCTCGCCAGCCATTGATCGCCCCGCTCCCTGGGCTGTCCATTTGCATCCACCCTCACTCAGTAGTAGAACGTGAGATCGCACTGTTGAAGTTAGATAAAGCCGCGGGACCAGATGATTTACCTCCAGCCCACTTCGAATTCGGGGGACCTGTGCTTGTGGATGATTTATACGAGTTACTATTGAAACTGTGGGAGCAGGAAACTGTCCCAATTGACTAGAGCCGCTCCGTCATAGTCCCAATTTTCAAGGGATGCTCACAATCGGAATGCGGCAACCATAGAGGAATCAGTCTGATCTGCATCGACTCTATATCGCTTGCGCCCTTCATCCTTCATAGACTGACTGCCACTTGTGAAAGTCATATTCTTGTAGAGCAAGCCAGGTTTCGTCGAGGTCGTGGCTGCGTTGACCACATCTTCATTTTGCGTCAGTTGTTGGAGCACCGTCACATATATTGGCGTCCCACCGTTGTCGTGTTCCACGATATCAAATGTGCCTTCGATTCGGTGGATGGACGTGAACTTTGGCTCTGTCTACTCAGGAGAGGTGTACCTGAGAAATACGTACATATTATCCGGTCATTATGCGCGCGTAGCTCAGACAGAGTGAGGGCTTACGGCAAGCTGTCGTCGCCGTTTAATATCTCCAGCGGTGTGAGACAAGGATGCCCGCTGTCACCGTTCCTCTTCAACTTCGCTGATGACGAAGTCAAGGAAATCGCGTTTACAGGTCACGACTTAGAAGGTGTGGATCTGCTTCCAGGAGAACGATTTCTTGACTTCAGATATGCTGACAATATTGCCCTAATCTGTGACAGCTCCCAGACATGCCAAGCGGTACTGTACAGGTAAGCACTGGCTGTGCATCACTTCGGGCTTTGCTTCGCACCATCGAAGTGCAAAGCGTTCCTCCAAGATTGGCTTGGACCGCCTTCTTCGCTGACCCCTGGTGGGGATCAGCTACAAGTCGTACAAAAATTCAACTACCTGCGAAGTAGCATCAGCGCCTGTGGGATTGAAGATGAGATCACGAATCATATAGCAAGATCTCGAGGCGCTTTTGCTAGTCATCGTCACGTATGGCGCCGGCGCAACATCATTCTCGCCCTGAAGTGTAGAGTGTACAATGCAGCGGTAGATTCGACTCTACTGTACGGCTGTGAAACCTGGCCCCTTAGATCAATGCACATAAAGAGGTTAGTTACGTTCGACCACCGGTGCCTTCGCAATGTAGCTCACATCTGGTGAGAACACCGCGTGAGCAACCAGTGTGTTTGACGACTTGTTTACTGCGCAGGAAAATCAAATGAACCGCTCAGCACCGTTATTTCATGCACCAGGCTCCGATGGCTCTGCCACGCGTTACGCATGGCAGCCCACCGACTCCCGCCACGTGTGTTGTTTGCGCGCTGGGGGTGTGAATAGAACAAGAGGAGGGGTGGCCAAGCGATGACTTGGTCGAGAGCAATGAAGGCCCTTACTTCGAAGCTAGCCTCGGTTGGAGCGTCTCGGCTCCCTGGTTGGGGTCCGAAAGATGATGAACATGTATGCCTGGATACACTTGGTGATATGGCTAGAAGCCGACCTCAGTTAGGTTCCTGCTGTGAGTTTCTTTGTCCCACCCCATCGCTCTTAGCCTCACCCTCCAACCACGAACTCATTATTTAGCATTTTATAATTTGCATAGTAAATTAGCTTTTTTTCTTCTTCATAGTAGCATGTAGGTAGCTTACCGGAACGATGCCCATCCGTTACCGGTAGCTCAGCTGGTTTGCACCTGTTACATTTTTTGTTTTAGGTATTGCGGCACAATAGTTGAGGTGTTTCCCACCTCTAGGTAAAGTGTATATAGTGTGTGCCTTCTGGAATTTGATGGGTGTTCTTGCTAGTTATGAAACCTTCATCTAAGTGTCGTGCGATTGTAGACTTTGAAATGCTCTTCTCCCTATCGGTACATACTCGGAATGGCATATAAATAATTAATTAATTAATGCTTTATTCTCGTGCGATGCGATGCACGCCTGTATAGGCATTACCATGTGTAGGGTTAGAGTAGCGTCCTTCACCATCCACCCCAGGATGTCATCAATCTCTTCCTCTGACGGAAAACGCTTTTACCGCCTCTGCATATTATCCAGCTTCTGATCGAGAGCGTGACGAATCCAAGAATAAGCCGTTTGATAATTCACATTGTGCACGGTTGCCACGATCTGCCAATTGTCACCGTTGACGAAGGCATCTTTAACTCGGTGACGAATGTCTGACGAGATATGCTGCCGAATACGAGAAGGCATGTTGATCACGCTGGAATGGAAGATATCCATTCAGTCGTGCCGTTATATTCCAGCCGTTCGTTGCTCTCAAACCAATTGTGATCCAGCGTTTCGCACGTGAGTGGGGGTGCATAGTAGCTCGTGGCACTGCGCATTTCTATGGTCGAAAATTCATTCACAAGTCTCACCCAGTCAACGGACAGCGCGCTCACTTCACTTGACTGACGCACCCAACTGTAGCACCCGGCCAATGAGAACACACATGAGGTCAGAGGATTGGCTCAGAGCAGCTGGCGAATCGCACAGTGTTTCGCAAAATTTTTTACTTGTCCTGCAAAAGTTTGGACTTTTTATGCGACGTTGCGTGATTCGCTGTAGTATTATTTGGTTGAGTTTAAATATGTTAAGGAAACGAATTCATCCCCGGGGTATTAGAGCTGTTCACATTTGTAGGATCCGATAACAAGGGGTGTGGGATAATGTGGACGGGTAGGTAAATTCGTGGCGTGCGTAAATTTGCTTTAGTAACTGGATAGCTGTGCATCAACAGAGCGAACGAGAAGGATCAAGCGTAATTTTGTGGTTACATTGTGCATCTGTAGGTGAGATACTGCCCGGTTGCCTAGACCGAAGTAGGTAGTTTGTCTTTTGGAACCACTGCACCGAGGTTTTGGCCAAGGAGCCTAACCCACATGGCAGTAGGTTGAGATAAGAGTTTAGCACTCGGTGGGCTGCCTTAACAATTAGTTGATACTTCTTTCGGATGACGAAATGCCGCACCAGGGACCAACACACCGGAAGATCGAGGCAGTATCCGATGCTCGCATTGCTTGCTGGTGCACAGTGTCTCCGAGGAAGAGAGAGGGCAGGGACTTTATTTAATGGTTATGCATGTCCCTCACGTCCCATTGTCGTTAAGCATTTGTGGCTTTTTATAGAGAGAACGCTTGCGAAGCAAAACCCATCACACCCTGGATTACTGCCGGTGGACCTTTCGCTGGGACGGGATATTCGCGAACCGCCCAGCTGCAACCATGGGGAGGTTGTTCGGAAAGCCAAGCAGCAAAACAGGCAAATGCAGAGCAAAACAACAGGTCACTTGTGTCACTAGTTTAAGTTGATTAAAATGGACGCATATGATATATGTATGTTTTGCCTGCTGCATTGTAATACACTAGTACCGTATATTACCGAATATAAGCCGAGGATTTTTGGACAACTTTTCGTTCCTATAGTGGGACGTCGGCCTATTTAAAGGTTATGCCCAATTTGGATAAGTCACATGCAAAATCCAATCAGGAATTTATTACACACATCTGCTTCATCTCCCCTTAGCACCATCCGCTATTGGCGGGGATCTAGTGTCCCATTTTTCGTACAGTATCCATGCAGCTCTGCGGGAAGCGTGCCTATAGCTATACATGTTATTTTTGTGGCGAAAATGCTCGGTAGATTGCACATATGACATTCGCGATGGACGACAGTAACGGAAACATACGGGAATATACAGAACCAAACACCATCACACTCAATAACATGAGAAAACACATAACAGCAAAGCACTAACCAGTAGATACTTTAGAGATCGGCTAACCCATAGACTTACGACTTTGGACAAATTTAATACTGCAAAGTCATACTGTCGGTCTATGCATGGACGGACTTATATTCGGTACTATAGGGTAATTGATCTAAAAGTTAGTTATCCGCTGACTTAAAGCGCGTGATAAAATATTAACCGATCCACCTCAACTAAAGCGACTGACGTCTCTCAATACTTTGGTGTACATTTATCGAACTGTATCTTCATTTCGATCACTGACATTTTACGACAGACGGGCATAGCAGATTCATATAAAACTTACTGTCGCTTCAATGTCACGGGGCCTCCCTTGATTCGATTTTGCTTAGTCGCCTCGCGTGCTCTGTCTTCTTCATCTTTCTCCGTTATACGTGCACGCCAACAGTGAATGAGTTCGTCTGAGAACTGATTACGATTGGCCTCCAGGAATTTGATCACATAAGCATCTGCATCAGTTATGATAAACCGGTTGCCAAACACTTCAATCCTGGATCCAAGCGAGAAATCAGCCGGCCCGTAGTAGACGGGACTCTCCACACTGCTTCCAGGCTTTGCGATCCTAGTCAGTGAAGTAAAGGGTTAAGTAAAAAGTAAGCGAAATTCTTGAAGAGTAGTTAAGATGGTCCATGAACGCAATAGGTTTCACATACTTGATGAGACAGCTAGCAAACTGGGATAGTCAATGAGAAATAATGTCCAAGCGTAAATCTGGTTTTGGATGTTCCGTTAACATTGTCTTTTTTAATGATAGCTGCCAGAAAAGCATTCGGTGTTCCCTTTGACATAACGAATGGATTTAAGCGCGATATGTTGTGTGACTCTGCTGCCTTTTTCTGAAGTAACCAGCCGATTAGTAGGAAGACACTTTGCAAAACACAGCACACGTGGTATATGGTGGCGTTGCGATAGTTGATGATGACCGAGGAACGCCAACTTTATACGGGGTAACACTGCTTTGTAAGTTCTGCTGGGTCATCTGGTTAGATTATTGGAAAACGTCAGTAAAAATCCGTTAAAAGTTCACAGTGAAAGGATGGTCTTATCGTTTGTTCTGCTGTAGTCTTGCACTCCGCTTGGTTTCACTGTACCAACAGGTGACATCTAATAAACCTAAACCTGACAACTGGGCGAGAAAGCTGAAAGCCAACGCTCGCGCGTTTACCACCAATCGTGCTTGGGAAGGACTCTACGAACGTGTTACCAGGGCCCAGCCGAAATCTGATCAGACACCAGGCGTGTTGCCAAGGCCAGACCGGAAGCTGATGAAATCACGCGTCAGACATCACGTGCGTCGCCATGCGCCGGGTAGGCGAACGAAGACTGGAGTGCCCGAGCAACACGGTGAACTGGACTGATGCAGCCGACAAGTAGGTGTGGAACGTGCGCTTAGAGCCAAATCCGCCTGGTGATAGTGATATATAAATATGAGCGTTCTTTGCCTTAATACAACTCTGGTCTGCTGAGTAGTCTTCTGTCTCCGTTCCGGTCGGGTTTGCCAAGGCGTCAAACAGAGCAAGCGTAAGGGCGCAGATTTCGCAGCGGGTGTGAATCAACCAGTCGAGAGCGAGCAGGCCGCACCGCGTTACAACAAAACGATATCCCAGGTGTAGAGAGGAAAGATAGTACTAAATAACAAGATCTAAGCGGATGAGTGTGTCTTGCAATCTTCTTTTAACTATGGCTAGTGTCGGTGTAGAAACGACCGATTCAGAGTGAGTATTCCATGGGTGACATATGCGAATAATAAGGAAATTGCTGCAGCACTCTAGACGGCTGCACTGTTCTATGAGATTCATGGTTTGATCTCTCTGATTTGTATTCCTTCCGAGTTGCAGCCAAGAGAGACACACATGGTGTGGATTGTGCAGAATCAAATAGGCCATTAATAGGTTGCGTAATCCGGGCTACCGTCCGCTGAATACTCCCATACGTTTCAGCCTCTGCTCTTATGGGAGATTGCGTACTCAAGTGACGTACTAGGATGCCCGAAGTTGAGGCTGTTCCAGGGCTTTGGGATCTATCTATCTCATTTGAACTGATCGTTAATCCCCTTGTACTTTCCTATTGCGATTTCAACCATATGATTGTACAGGTCTGAAGATGAATCATCGAAAACAATTGTTCACCTTCGGTCTTTCGTTCTTGATAATGAAATGGGAATTTTCCACTTACTGAGATCATCTTTCCGCCATGCATAGAAGGGTTGAATTGTGCATTCGACTTAGGGGCGAATATACGCATTTCGTGACTGGCGGAAAATAGACATGTCTATTGCAGATCGGCCCTGAATTGTTCTCAGATCGTAGCAAGGTTTTATAAACAATATACGGTGAAATCCCCCATGATCAAGATATGAGTAGAGTTTCCTTTTAGAGTGCGTTAGAGAGAAATTTAAAATAAATAAACTAAATGGGTATATTTCCCGGCGAGCGGGATCCGTTCCGGTTTGTGGAATTATCATTTGTAAACCGAGTTTCGTTATTATTTCATTTATATACTCTATTCAATATGAAAGTTATGTAATTTTTGTTGCAGGTATAATATGTAACCCTATTTGACAGTTCATATGTCAAATGTTGTTCGGACTCGATTCCATGAGCGCGCTCATCGATTGTTTTAGGTCGAAAGTTTAGAGCACATTTAACATGGAAAGAAATGTTTTTAAATTGGTTTTAAAAATGGACAGGCTCTCGCAAGTGCTTAGCTGTAACGGGAGTTTATTCTACAGATGGGCATGCCTCACCAAGATGAACTTTAAGCGGATATTTTTCTTGGTTCTCGTAAGGATAGTAATTTCTCATTACGAGTAGGATAGGTTGAGCCATTATGTAATGCGACGGTTATACTAGTTGAGCGAATTTGTGAGCATATTATGCTGTAAAGAAGAGTGAGGTTGACTTTTAGCCTTCGAAGCCAGAGTGGATCGATCTGGAGGCGAGAACATCGCTCCTCAATGTTAGGAGAATAGCTATTTCACATTCATTCTTGTGAACAAGCTTAATAGCCATTCTTTATTCCTCCTATTTTGTACTTCTTGACTGTCGTTAAACGTTCCACTGTGTTAGGCCGATTGGTACACACACGTCATTGTTAATGAACGCTCATCTTCGTGTCATCTTCAGCAGTGCCATTTGGAAGAACACAATCCATGGGTTTCTCTCCGCATCACTTTTCTACTTGCTTTTGTCAAAGGAAGATTTGGTTGTCACACAATTATTGCACTATTTTTAATTTCTGAGTCTGCATTTCTTATTCTCGTTTGTTTCGTGACATTTGGTTAAACGCTACATGTCGTTATTCTGATTGGCCAGTACCCGTCACTGTAAACGGATGTTTGCTTTACGCTTGTGGTCCCATGGTGCTATTTTTAAGGACATATGCGATTCGCTCTTGATTACACGTTTGCTTATTCGCCTGTTGCATTTGACATTTTCCTTCACTTGGTTGGCTCAAGTGTAATTTAATAGCCTCTCTTCATTTTGCCTTCAAAACCATATAAGCAAATGTGATTTCATGTATACAACTCTCTTTCCGATTCGTCTTTGGACTGCTTGCAGTCGTGGGATGAAAGCGTCAGTGGTGACACAAGACTCATAAGTAAGCGATGATGAACACCTCATGAGCATTTTGGTAATTGAACGCTGGACGTCTTTCAGATCAATTCTATCTGTTTTACGTAGGTGGCTATGAATGACGGTGCAATACTCTACGGTGGGTCGCACAATTTGTTTGGAAGATTCAAGCCGTGTTTGGGACAGTAAAAAGGACCTAGTGATGTAGCTTATTAGTTGCTGCGCTTTCGCTACTTGATGTAGGATGTGTTCGGAGAAGTTGAAACTGCTCGAATGTCGAATTCCTAAGTCTCGAACGGAATAAGCAGTTGGGTTTGGGGGTGCCAGTGAGTTTGATGGATCCTGCCGGTATAATGCATCTGTGACAGCGTATCTGAGATTTATCTGCCGAAAACCTTATTGACCTGCTTTCGTTTCATTTGTTAAGGGATGATAAAGGCTCGAGTATACTTTATAAGCACGGTTTCAGATGGTCAAGTCGAAATGAATACACCGGTTTTATGTCATTCGCAAATAAAGCTGGCATCCGTGTCTAGTGTAATCACCTATATCGTTTATGTAAATGAAGACCTGCAATGGGCCCAATACACTGCCATGGACAACACCGCATGTGTCATATTTGGAAGTGGAACAATGTTGCTCAATCTGTACTTTTTGTGTTCAGCAGTTAAGATATGATTCGAACCAACTCAAGGGTGGGTTGCTAACTCCGTATGGCAGCAGTACGGCCAACAATGATTTTGCGGAACACAGTCAAACGCTTTTTACATATCCAGAAGGATAATGATGATGGTTATGCCGTCATGTAAGGTTGCTGTAACATGATTGGGGAACTGCAGTTGGCATGTAACACAAGAAGGTTTCGTGGTGAACTCATGTTGAGAACTGCTGAGTAGGTTTTGTCTTGTCAGAAACTGTGTTACCCGAGTTTTGCTAATTCTCTCCAAGGCGTTAGAGGCGGCGGAGTTGTGGTTTATCGGTCGATAATTTGACATTCTATCTCGTGGATCGCCTTTGTTTTTCGGTAAAATTATGGAATTTTTCCACTTAGGCGGGAAGCAACTAGTGTTTAGTGAAAGTATAAAAATATTCAACACGAGCATAGGTCTGTTTTTATCACCTAACTTTATAGCTGCAGGCGGAATACCATCAGGTCCCGTTTGGAATGTCGGTTTGATGGATGTTATAGTCATCTGTAGGTCCTTTAGATTCAGAGGAATGGTATATAATACCTCTTACGTTTTTCTTGTAAGGAGAGGAGAGGATACAGATGGTGCAGTAGTAAACGAGGCAGCAAAGTAATAATTCATTGAATGACATATTTGAACTAAATCGCCTGCTGCTGTACCGTCATTTTAAAGTAGGCATGGAATTTCGTGGTGTCTTTTCGAATTTCTTCTTCTGAGTAATTGCAACAGTGCACGAGTTTTCTCGGTATTCGTGATAGCTCGGGTTTCCTCGGCAATCCTGGACTGTTGAGTTTTGTGTTCAACTTTTAACAAGGTTTCATGCATTTGAATTAATGTGGCGATGTCTTTGTGTTTGCAATGCAGTGATCTGGACTTCTTAAGCTTGGAGGGGACCTTAGATGAGCTTTCCTATCGGCCGTCAAAGGGATCTGTGTTTCCCTTCGTCGCAGCTTATAGGATGTCCGTATACGTGATGATATTTTTCGCGAATTCGCCTGCGACTATGACTGAGTCAGATATGAAGTAGACTCGGTCCCAATGCATGCTCCCAAGCAGCAAGTCAAATGTGTTCCAATCAGTATGATGTATTCGGGGTACTAGGTTAATAATTTCTCTGGTCTTTATAGATGGCCTGATATTCATGATGCAGAGCACCGTATTGTGGTCACATCCTAGTAAAGGGCCTTCAATTAATACACAGACAGATGGAATACCCATAGTGAAAACCAAACCTGGAATGTTATCTAACCTAGTAGGTTGTTTAACGTGTTGGATCCAATCATTGATACAGACACATT